TGAAGATGAAGATGAAGATGAAGATGAAGATGAAGATGAAGATGAAGATGAAGATGAAGATGAAGATGAAGATGAAGATGAAGATGAAGATGAAGATAAGGATAAAGATCATAACCCTTTAGCTTTAACTCATCTTAACTTAAAAACTTACTCCACCTGAGCTCACCACACATTAATTCACCACACTTTAACTCCCCACACCTAAATTCACCACACCTCAACTCGCCACACCTTAACCCCCGCACCTAAATCCACCACACCTAAATCCACCACCCTTAATTCACCACACCTCAACTTTCTCACCACACCTTAACTCACCTCAACTCACCACACCAAAATTCACCACACCTCAACCTTCTCACCATAACTTAACTCACCACACCTGAATCCACCACACCTAAATTCACCACACCGTAACTCCTACACCCAATTCCACCACACCGCAGCTCACCACACCCAATTTCACCACATGACATGATATCACTTGATGTGGCATCAAAGGCAACATCATTTGGCATAAAATGAACCAAAATAAATAAGATTTAGATAGAGGTGAAAAAAGGGATAAAAAGGAAATACAACTGAAGAGTGTGCGATGTTATATTGTGGTGTGTTATGCTTCATATGTTATGTTATTTATTCTCATGTTATGGTTATGTTATGTTATGCCAAGTACTAAGCTAAACTCCCCTCCACTTAACCCATTCCAACTAATATTATTTTAGCTCATTCAACTTACATAAACTATCCTTAATTTTACGGTTGAATTTCAACCGCTGGGCGAACACTAGTAATAATAATTTCTAATAGCATGCATTTGGGATGTCCCTACTTGAATTAATTTTTTTCACTGCTCAAACCTTCGTCTCTGGGCCTTCATATCGCTTTTAGTCAACAAACGCTCAAAAAAAGGAAAATTTTAATAAATTGCGAAAAAAATTTCTCTACAAAATAAAAAAAAAAATTTATTTGTAATTTGATTCTTCCAACAAACAAAAAAAAATTGTGATTGTTCAACTAAAAATACGTTTTTTATGTCACGCAAGCACGGTTTTCGAGTTCTTTCCAATCTGCGCATGCTCATGAGATGTTACAAATTATTTGATTTCTGAAACCATTAAATACACAAATCGTCGAATTTGCAAATGCCTTAACGGCGCATACAATGGGTTCGATGGTAATTAGGTCGCTCACGAGTAGCCACGAGAAAGATCCTTAACCGCCTTTTTAGGATCGGAACCATTTTGTGGTCTAACTTGATCTGCTCCGAGAACTCTCTTATACTCTAAGCAAAGTACGTAATGGCGGGCAGTGGGGAGCCATAGACAGGCCATGCTATTCGCCTACCCTTTTAACAGTTCGGGTATTCCTTAATTAAATAAACATTAAATCAGGCTACTCTCTGGAAACCTAACAGGTCACAACCAACTACGATTGCATAGGTACCGAATCGCAGAGCCTGAATGCTCCTATGCATAGAGTAGGGTAAACTTCCGAACACATTTTTTGAGACTGCCCAACCATGGCTGGATAAAGATTAATTAATTTTAAAGCTCCTTGTAAATTTTTCCACAAAGGCCCTTTCTGGATTCATTAAGGAAGTCGAGTGTTTACTCGGTTAGAGACTCTCTCCGATACAAAATACCTCTCAGGTCGCAGTGTCTCTTGTTCTTATATAACCTTGCTGGAGTTCCAGTACTTGAATAGCTAGAAATCTGGGTTGAACTTCACCGAGTTGTAAAATATGAATACAAGGGTGCTTATTATGGACCGGTTTACCCTAGTGGAGCCAGTTTCTCATTTTATTTAAAGGCATTCAACTGTGAAATGTAGTGTTACATGCAGACTTAATCTCTAAAAGGCAAGGTAATTTTTAAGCTGCATTAAGAACCAGGCACATCAGTATTGATAAAACTTAAGGTAGCTGAGAAATGCTTATCCACGAATGATTCGTATGCTACTAAAGAGTAGATTGAAAAGGTTTATTTTCAAATATGTACGTGCATGCTTATTAGAATTAAATTATTATAAGTGACTAATCGGAGGTATACAAAGAGCTAACATCAATTTTAAGCTTATGAAAAATGGGCAACCCTAATGTGCATAAATGAAAGCATGCAATTCTAGGCCACTCACAAATCATCATTCATGAGAATGCAAATCTCATATCAAGAAGAAGCAACTGTGTTGCCTCTAAAACAGTGGTGGCTATGCCGATACCCGCGACCAGGAGCTTTTACAATGATAGCTTTACTTCGACAATTCAAAGCTTTATTTTCACAGCAAACAAATTACATTAATATTTGCCCTTTACTAGCAGTCAACGTTCAGTTGTTGTGGAAGTTGCTGATCTGCGCTTTCGCTATTGAGTAGATGGATAGATGTTGGCCACCACTGGTCTGTCGTTAAAGCTGGCATTAAATTACTTTTATTCCAAGTGCTAAATGAGAGGTACAACTGTGCTTCATGGAGCTCGCATGTCAGTGTTTCACAATTCTGAGTAATAGAGTTGCCAAGTAGCCAACTCGTAAAAAAAAACAAAAAATTTATAGAAGGGATGCTCAAGAAATTTAAACGAAATTTTCTTCTATCAAAATTTGTTAAATCAGTTTGCTGTTCGCAAGAAAGATGCTTGTACACATGTATACATATATTTCTTCGAGAAAATTCACAAACACGGTAAAGTACTATACGTTTTGAAGCGACAGAATGAAAAATATTTCATGAGATTTTTCTTGAGAGCTGAATATTAAGCTTACAAGGGGAAAATGTGTTTAGATAAAAAACAATGTTGATTAAATATTACAGGCGGCCTACCACTCCGTAGGACCCGGTTTCGATCACTGACTTGTGGGACATCTTAATTAGAACAGTTGTGCCTTCGAAATATTTTGTGGAATTTACACTACGTACTTACTCCACTGGGAATAAAAAAATTAAAAGTAAATAAAATGATATAGTTAATGAAATTTTCTAGAAAGTTTTTAAAAAATTTCAGTTTTCAGAGTGATTTTTTCTCAAAAATGACTAAATACTAATTTATAGTCAGCCAAAGTTAAAAGGCTTAGCAAAGAGAATTCCCAAAAAAAAAACGCTTACAATTTTTCTCTCAATACACGAAGAATCACTTTTCGGAAAACCACCAGTTTCACTTCCTTACGCTTCCATCCAAACCATCTGGCAACACTGCCTGCATTTACGCTCCTTACCAAAACAATAATCCAACCACTTAGTTACTTACCAATGCCGAAGAAGGCCAGCACAGCCACTGCCTGTCCGGTCGCTGTCAACTTCCTGGGCATCGCATGTCGCATATACAGTATAATCGTAATCCACACAACTCCGATGACGACCGGCTCGATAGCCTCCATGACAACGGTCAGCCACTGGGTGCCATCGCTGCTCAGCGCAGTGAAGCGTATGATGAAAATCGCAAAGCCGCCGATAAAGATATTCGAATGTCCACAATATTCGATGAATTTGTCGACATTGAAGAACAGCACCAACACCAAAATCAACCCAGAATAGGTGACCGCATACGTATCGCTGAATGTCCAAATGAGAAAACTGTGAATGCAGCTCCAGAATGTGCCGAATAGTATGGCGACAAGTGTAAGCACGAATATTTCAGGGCTATAGCGACGTATTGCCGACATGGGATAGACGAGCATGCCGGTCTTTGTGTGCCACCCCACCACTCCGGCGGGCTAAGCGGCATTTGCGAGGCAAACAGCAGCACTAATGCACCGATGAGCAGACACACAATGACAAGTATTAGTGCCACCAGTGCGGCGTCGTGTTTCGAGTCACTCGAAAAGGCAAACAAATCGATGGGCGAGAAGAGCGGCACATAAGCGATCGCACCCCAGACATACTGACGGCATACCTCACCGCGTCCCTCCGATGTCTCGCGCACTGCAATGACGATGGCGGTGTTGAGCAGCGTCAATGCGGCCATCACGAAAATGTCGCCCAGCAGGCGGATGGCAGTGTAGCCGCCCAATGTGCCATCCAAGTCGCCAGTAATCTATGGATATGTGCGGGAATTCGTATGAAAGATAGCGAGAGAGAGAGAGAGAGAGATGGAAGAGAGAGAGTTGGAGGTATGATTAAATATGTGACATGTTGCAGATACATAAATGGGGTGTAACCACAATGGCGCAGGCCGGTGCAAATTGCTTACTTTAATGCCTTTGCTGTCGTAAAGATCAATCACTTGACATTCAATCATCGGTTTGCAAGTGCTGCCATTCTTCAGCCCAATCATGTACTCAACCTGAGCGGTGGGTATGTTACACTGGAAGCCATCTGAAATAAGATAAACATTGAAGGTGAATGAGTGGCTGTGGCAGTGTTGGTGGCTTAGTTAATGTACGAATATTGCCAAAATTTTGCAGCGGCTGTACGAAGGTGTATGAGTTTGTACGTGTGTGTGTGTGTGTGTGTGTTTGCCTGTTGGTGTTCATACTTGCAAATTGCTTGCCATTATACACCTTCGTAAATACATATGCCGGACCAGGGATGGGCGTTTTTGAATGAATTATTATTCAAATAAAAAATAAATTTTTATTCATCATTCTAACAATTTTGAATGACGAATAAATTTTTATTCTCCATTCAAGCACTTGCGAATGATGAATAAATTTTTAATTTTTTCATAAATAAATAAATTGAATAAAAATTTATTCGTCATTCAAAATTGTTGGAATGATGAATGAAAGCTTATTCTTATTTTTTTTTTTTATTCAATTATTCATTTTCCTGATTACGCCCATCCCTGATTCAGCACCAACTACAGCCACCGAAAGCTGTTACCTGTATAAAACATATATGTATGTATGTATTAAAACAAGCCACTAAATACATATATTATTACCAAATACCTGCTTTAACATGTAATTAGAACACAAACATTCAACGCAAGTGTTCGCTATGGATGATGTAAGTACTACCCAGCAAAAAATTGGACTAATCCGGGATGACTCCGGGAGCAATCGCAAAGGAGCATGCGACTAATACCACTTTTGATCTCTTTATATGGAATGAACTGTTCGCTTTTGTTCGAGCATGTCCTATGAAGAGACTAATTGTTCGACTTTATATCCGAACGGGTATAAAAAGCGACTAGTCAATTTTAAAAAATAAAAATAAAAATTTGCGCCAGCTGAGATTCGAACCGGGGTGCTCAGTTTTGTTAGGCGAATACTCTCTCTGTGTGCCAACGCCGCACATGAAATTTCATTGACTAAGTGCGTACATATCATTAAATCGTTAATAGTACCCGTTAGAGATGAGTTGGGCACTAATTGATCTCCAATTATACCCATAAGGGATGAGTCGAGACTAAATGACCTCCATTAGTACCCTTATGAGACTAGTTGGGACTAATTAATGCCCAATTGTACCCGATTGAGAGTAATCTCGGAATACTCTATTTAGAGATTAGTCGCACAATTTTTGCAGGGTATGTACAATTTGTATGCACACTGTTGCATTACCAACAATAATTGCATGTGTGTGTATGAGTGTGTAACTAAACATGAGTGCAATATAAGGCAAATGTGGTAAAGTGTAAACGACAGAGGATGAGTAACCGCTACATAGAAACTGATATGTATGTTAGCACACATACTTGCATACATACATAAATATGTATGTATGTATAAGTAAGCTCATAGAAGCCTAGTACGTATGTACATAGGTACTATACATATGTACATATATACAGCGATGTCAGCAGCCATCGGTGACTGCTAGTCAACTTATTAGTAAGTAATGTTGGCACTAGGACTACAATCTGCTCTGCTTGTTTACTGAATGGTGCAAATTCATATTAATTTCAGTAACAGAAAACAGTTTGCTTTCTAAGCGATAGGTACATAAGTACTTAAACTTATACATATATGTTTGCCCACCTGGTGTACTTGTACCCTAAATGCGTGTGCCTGTGTGTGGAATTTCGAGGCTCGCTGTTGCTTACTTGTCTTAGCAACATTCGCTGACCACTGCTGATGCTGCTCAACCATATACCGAATAAACACCTATGTATACTATAGTAGAGCAACGTGGTCACCAAGCGACAGATATGCTTGTGTCAGTCATTAGTTGAATGCTGTGAGTAGCCATTGCAGTGGCAGACGTGTTCGCTGTTTGTGTGCGCCACTAAGTAAGGCTTGTTTTAATGAACGCGATGATTATTCAGCCATGCGAAGTACGAAAGCAAACAGGCGCACCCGGTTTACAAGTGCAAACACACACACACACACACACATATGCGGCTAGGCTGCACTGAAGCATTTAGGCGTAAATTTGCAGCAGACTTACACAAGTATATTGGGTCATATGAAAAGGATCAGCGAATTTTCGTCACTAACTTGTGTTGAAGCTAATACATCTGGTGGCACTAATCCATCAGATTAAAGTGTGTTTAAAACGTCTTTTCATGAATAGTTTCGAACCAAAATGATCTTAAAACTAGTCCTGAAATATTCCTTGAATTGTCCCCAAATGATACCGAACAAGTGCCGAAAAGTAGCTGAAGTAGTCTCAAAATTGTCCGAAACTAGGCCTAAAATGGTCTTCAAAATAGCCTTGAACAGATTTCGAAGAAGTACTACAACGATGCAACTATGAAGCTACCTGAAAAATTACAAAAAGTTCATACATAATAATGGCCCAAAATGGCATTGGTTTTAATAAAGAATTTGTTTTCTTCAAAATTTATCAAAAAATTTGCCCCAAATATTATGACCCAATATAAGGGCATGGATGGTTATGTGTTGGACTGACTGCGGCTGGCTTAGGCTTTGCTCCTTTTACCATCGCACTATCCAAGCTGCCATTGCCATGCTACCACCACCACCATACCCACTATTGAGTTTGACGTAAGCTTGTGCTTGTGTGTGTGTGAGTGCACCTAAATGCCAGGCAGTTGAGCAGGCACGGGTAAACACCGTGTCGCTGTAGGCCGGCTATAGGCATCAATGAACAGAGAGTTTCGTATTTGGGTCTCCCCCATGGCGACTGATTAAATGCCAAATGCTTTGTACCTTTATGTCTGCGCATGTGTGCATGTGCGTGATTGCGCTTATTAAGCTGGCCAGTTGAACGCACAAATAACGTTAATGCATTCATTGCTACAAAGTATGTGCACAGTATATAGATTGATTTTGCATTGCTTGTTGTTGCTGTCTTATCAGCGTGATAGCGAAGGTCTCCAAATGGCAATCATATATGTAAGTGTACTGTATGTATGTATCTCTGACTTCACCTGTTCATGTTCGACTGCCGGTCATAGTTTAAATGCAGAGATACTGTTGCAGCGTTAATATTACAATATAACTGCTTCAACAGCTACATTAATGAGATTTGCTTCTGCAGGCAAATCCAATGTATGTATGTTATTGTCATCACTTGTCTACGAATAGAAGTAGCCCCCGTTGGTTTGTCAAAATCGTTCAAGTATTGGTTTGAATGTCTGCGAACTCAACTGTGTGATTGGAATTACTTTATGAAAGTTTAAATTCACATCAGCCTATTGTGAAGGAGTAACACGACTGTGCTAAATATAATCTTGCTGCATATAAGAGAACCACTCATATGCATATATAGTTTTGCAGAATTAAATTTTCAATGCGTTTGTATATTTCCAAGACGCTTTTCACAACATGAAGAGGATCATTAGTAAATATACTTCCATCTAAGAGATTTTCTGTATATTTTCAGTATTTTTTTGGTCGAAATTGGTGGCACACTTAACTTAGGAATTGCATTATCTTCAGTTTTGTATACTGAAAAAGATTTCATCGCGAAATTGCATTTAAATGCAAACTTAAAAAAGATATGCTAAAAAAAGTAAAAATAATCAGTGGTGATCATATACCCGTAGTTGCGCATGTAACGTATTCGCCCCGTAGCACCATACACAGTAACCTACCACGTTTACTCGCACGCCTTAAATTAAAAGTAAAATTGTTTAAGAGTTATTAAAAATTGGCGTGGAAGATTTTTACACAGTATTCCTTATGCACATATATATTACCTTCTTCATGCATATAACAATTTTATAATGAATTTCGAGTGTGCCATTAAAAATTGCAAAAATGGAATATTAGTTTAGTGGTTAAACCTTACCCAAGCCGATCGTAAAACTGGCAACGCAATTTTAGCTTATGTGCCTGTGAGAGATCTGAGTACTTGTGTCTTTTCAAAGTCACTGGAAGTACGCCACCATTACCTTTCAAGTTAATGTTGAGTTCCCCGAGACTGAGCGCTTGTTTAGTACCTGCGCTGAGCCCGGACTTACACGTTGTCGAATCTTCACTGATGTCTCCAAAACTGACTCTGGGTCAGGATCCGAGGTTCTTGATCGCAGGGGATATGCTTTACTTCTATTTTAGGGAGTCTGCTTTGGTCGTCCAGGCTGAGGCATTTGCAACGCTCAAGGCCATGGACTACGTGGTAGAAAATAGGTGGAGGGGAAGGAGTTTACGTTTATTTAAAATTACATTTTTATTTTTTCTCTCTGACGCCAGGATTTATTTTAAAGGACTTTGTAATTTCAAAGATATGATTAATTCCAAAAGTTATTTAAAAAAAATTGAATGCAATGTAGAATAAAAATATGGGTACCAAATGAAAGAGAAAATTTCTTTAGAATTGAAGAAATTAAAAAAAATAAATAAAAATTTTGAGCTCATAAAGTTAGAAGGACGAAATTCGAAGATGTTATCGAGTTTATATAAGTCCTTAACATATAATTTTTCCAAAAACAAATATTGCGAAATTTCAAGGATAAAATTTTAAAAGGACATTTTCAATACTTACCAAAACTTATGCACCAAAGAATTTAATCTGTTTAAATTCTACAAAATTTCCTAATTAATTTTATACCCATATTTCCACTCTAAGCACATTTCACTGAATTTTTCAAATAATTTTTAATTACTGACGTCAGAGTGAAAAACAAAAACGCTGGTTTACTATATTTGGCCCAATGTTTCGCGAATATAATAATTTTTGGGTGTAAAATTTACTATTTATATGAATAGTGAGCTAGAAATTTATAACAAAATATTAGGTATTAAATAAAAAAAAAGAAATGTAGCCAATACTGGGCAGTTCAAATTGCAAATCCAAGAATCCTGGAATTTTCGGGACCTAAAAAAGGCCAGAATTCTGAGATTAACATTCCTAACCAGAATACATTGATAGAACCTTGCTATTTTTGATACTGTACAGCGTAATAACCACACTTTCGCTGAAGAAATCTCTAGCATAGAATGCAGCAGTCGTTAAGCACTGAACAAAAACCAAACAACCTGCAGAACCGGATTTAGTAGACCAATTTGCCTCATATTCATAACACACACACATCAATAATAAATGTCTACCAAAGGAATTTGCTAATAAAACTAAATTTTATTAAACAGAAACCTACTTTTCAGCTGTGAAAATAAATCTTTTAGTTTTTTCCCTAATTAAAATTTTAAATCAAATGTCCTGAAGGAACACCCTCATATACTCTACTTCACACGAGCATAGTAAAAACGAATTACGTGTGCGAATTGCAAACGATTATTTTGCACCACATCAGCACAAATACGCTGCACATCAAATGATGGTTCATTAGGGTGCATCACTCCCCATTAAAAAAAAAAAAAAATCTGCACGGATTTTGCGTCTACACAATTCATTATGTTTTAAGACATATTTTTGCCATATTAATTTCGGATAAATATAAGGTATTAAGTGAGCTGGACCGATTTGAAGTTACCTCCAGCAATCGCATTATTTTGATTCTGTTGATAAAGTGTTCAAACATTTTCAAGCAGACCTTTTAAGATTAAACTTTTAAATCTCTTTTTTTAAATATAATACATTTTTTTATAATTCCGGCGGCGCCCTAGTGTTCTATTTATGTATGTATATGTATATATTCAATAATACTTATGTGCCATTTCTAATGACCATCAAACACATTGTTAACTTACCCCAACACGTCCGTTATCATATTCTCTGCTCGCTTGAATAGTCAATTTCGCTTTGGAATGCATGGCATCTGTTAGGGAATTCCTATGATGTGAGCCCCCACCGGACGCCGAACTCAACATGGAGCCATTCGCCTTTTGCGTTGATGTTTTGCTGCGAAAGCAGAACTCGATGATGGCCACAAAGACGGCCACTAAGAGGCCACCGATCAATATATAAAATATACCAGCCACATTACTCAACGACAATTCACTGCGTAATGTCTCCTGATTGTCCTTGTTGAGGTTGCATTCCGTTTTGTCATACCACCATTTATTGCGCAATTTTATCAATTCACCATTTTCTTTCAGCGACAGCACAGCCAAATTAATCGGATCTCCGTGCGATTGGATATTAGACCAAAAAATAAATCGAATAAATTGATATGAAATACGAATGCATAGTTGTTTTTGTTGTTGGTTTGGTTGGTGGTTGTTGGCGAGGTTAGTTGGTCGGTTGGTTTCCAAAAAGTTTGAATGAGGTTAGTGGGTTCAAAGTAATCGGTTGGTTGGTCATTTGGTTTTATTTATTTTTTCAAATTTTTGTTTTTGTTTGTGTGGCATTTTTCAATGTTTCGCAGTTATGATGATGAAGTTTTTCCACACACACACACACGCACGCACATAGACATTTCGGTTTCAAGCAGTGATGAGTGTACCACGATGAGATGAGATGAGTTGGTTTGTTGGTGGCATTGATGTTGTTGTCCGAAAATTGTATGTCCATATTATTCCGAGTGGCAGCAGGAGATGAGAAAAGTGTAAACAAAGAAGAGAATACAGCATAATGAATAACCAGAATAACCAAGCAGACAAGGTTTAATTGTGTTGAAAACAAGCAAGAGCAGCAAGAGCTGCAGCAACAACAAAAAAAAAAAAAAAACAGAATTTGCTGCATGAACCGATGAGTAGTTTCCTAGAAAGTTTGGTAGTCTATGGTGCCATGTGGAAGGCGTCCATTTCCCAGTATGTATGCATATTGCAACACGCACTACACAGCCAAGCATTCATTACATATCACATAGCGCATATCTATGTATGTATGTATACATACTTACAAGCGAAAATTTTAATAAAGAAATTCCTATGGCATACATTGTATACCGTTATGCTTGTTGCCCTAATTGCAGACTGGCGTGGTTCCTGTTGCTATTGGCAGCTCAATCAAGTTAGCGGCGCTAAAATGAAAAAATGAAGAAAAA